TTATAAATATATTTGTTCAATATTACTACTATCAATAGGTATAAAGTTCTCTATCTATCTGGTATGAAATTTGAAAATGCTAGTATTTTTCATGCCTTCTGGGCATGTGTGAATATTTGATAAGAATTCTCTGACAAAAATATTAAATTTAAAAATGTCATGAAATCATAAAATAAAAATAATGTGATCTCTACTCCATTAATTATTTTTTACCTGAAATGACAGAGGCAAATATAACTTCTTTCGCGCAGAACTTCTCTCAAGTGCAAATCGTACACATAGAGATCGATAAACTATTATATATTTGAAAACAATGCAAACACTTGTACTAATAACAAACAAAATAATTATTAATGATCATGTAAAATATTTAATAATTTAATCTATAGTACTCAATCATATAACCATTTTTTGGAAAAAACAATACGAGCATTGACAACGCCCAAATTATTATTCTTGACCATGTAAAGAGTGTAGGGTGTATCATTCCAAGTAACAATATTTATAAAAATTCTATGTTTTTTTGACGTTATAAACTCCAAATATTACTTGTACACATCACTTATCATACTAGTTTATTTGGAATTTTCTAATAACAAATCACCTACCTCATATTTATACTGCATGAAAAACATAACTATAAAAAATATTTTTACTGCATTAAAATAATATAAAACTTTAAAAAGAAATATAACCAATAAAGGTAGAGTTATACATGCATAGATGTTCTAGTTCTTTTTTATGTCATATATTTTGACTTCGGATCATCAATAAAATCTAAATGTACGGTCGAATAACAAATATCTAAACGTTGCATCATTTTAGTCTTATTGTCGTCTTTAGAATTAACTTTAAGTTTTCTTTTACCACTACGTTCTAATGAGGGAAAACGATAATCACAATCACATTTAATAAAAGGAGACAAACTCAGTTTTTAATACAACTGTTTGTTTCTTCGTTTAATGATACAACGTTTAATCCTTCTTCCATGTGTGATTTATTTTCTAAACTCTCGTCTTCCAATAGAACGTTATATAAATTATTCCCTTCTGATCTATTATTTAAATCATTCTCCTTTAATGATCGAATATGTGTATATCTTTTCTTTTTACTGAATCCCCATCTCGTATTGAACTTTTCCTAATACTCGATGTTAATATGCTCACTAAATTTTCAAATTGGCCATTTAATATTTTAAATTGACCTTTTAATTTTTTGAGTTGACCAATCATTATACAATATTCCTTTCTTCAATATTTTGCATTTTTTAAATGTGTGTCAAACTTGTGATCATTCTGATAAGAAGTTATTATCTTTTCCTCATGTACAACTTTAGTTTTTTCCTATATGTAAAAATAAATAAAAAATAAAACAATAATCTTAAGAAATATATACAAAAACAAATTCATCATTATTATTAAAATTTCAGTTAATTATAATGAATATACCTCATTGTTTGTCTTTTCCGAATTCATATTGATATATCGCTTACACTACATCATCTTAACTTGTTTTGAATGCGTAAAGTTTAAATCTATCATATATGTTAAAAAGATAAAATCTAATCATGCATACTTAACAAAAAAATTACAAATCAAGCATATCATACTGATACACTCTACTAGTGTACCGGTACACATATTTGAAATAAAAATAGTGTACTATTATGGTTCTAGTTGAGTATCAATATCGATTCTCAGATGCCCACATGTCGGTATATTGAGCCAATGTACCAATAAGACATGTCTGATTCAAATTGGGATTTTGGTATTGGATTTCAAAAATACAATTTGAATGTAGGAATTAAGGTTCAATTGTTCTAGTTGAGGTTATAATTTGGGAATTATGATAATCATTTTGGGAATTATGGTTATATAATCATACTAATTATAAAATTAGGGTTTGGATTATGGTTAGGGTTTAAAAATTAGGGGATTAGGGGAAATATTATAAGAGGGGATAGCCCCACACTGGCATCACGACCACTCTCGGTGAAGGCACGAGCAATAGGTGAAGCCCCGCCCGTCAGTGACGGTCTGGACGGACGACTAAGTTCAAAAGAAAATAAAATTAATCAGGCTTATCTTAACGAATTGATTTCCCGAATGAAGGTGAATGGTGTACACGTTAGAGAGGATAAATGGAAAAGATTTAATCGACGACGACATATGATGCCGACGACAATTACGATGACGAAAACTTTAAAGCTTTAAAATAAATTAGGGTTTTTTAATTTAGGGGTAGTATTTGATCTAATTATAATAAAACAATAAGATATAAAAATTAATGTTATTAATATTTTATTTTAAATAAATTAAATTTAGATTTTCAACTAATTTATAATTATACGTTGAGTACTTTATAATTTTAAGATTTTATAAAAGAATTTAATGGTGATCATCGGTGCCCTTCGAGCGTTGTAAAAATTTCCTTAAAATATATATTATTTTTTACATAAATCTCGAGTGAACATAAGTGAGTATATGTTCAAAGATTCTCAATTATTTCACATTAAACGTTCATACTTCTAATTTTCACGGTGCTCAAATTCGATACCTCAAAGAATAAGAACAAGAGTTTCAACCACTAAGATTGTTTGTTCGTACATAATATATTGAATATTTAATGCTAATGTATTTTACTTTTTCCCCCTATTTCCACTCTTTTCTCATGCCCTTGTGCCACTCTCTTTCTTTCTCATTTTGGTGTTGGTCATTATTTGTTGATAATTATTTATTTTTTCTGCAATTTCTTATCTTAAATATTTCTTTTTATTTTGTTTCTAGTAATTTAATATTTATGACATATATTTTTATCTTAATGATACATTTTCTTTATTTTTTTTGTACGTTTTTGTTCTCTCTATTAATCGTTTTATCGTTATTATTTACTTTTTAGATTTTTAGTGATGGGACTCATTTATTATCCTATTTATTTTCTTTATTTTGAATCTTTCAATTGGATTTAGATATACATCACGCTTTTGTATATAGTTTTTTCATGATTCTACTCTCTTATTTATGTTCGTAAGTGGTATTTAAGTAGTTTGATCCGTTGTTATGATTTGTTTATTGATACAATCAAATATGTTTTTATTTTTCTACAGTTAAAAAAATTTTAGATATGATTTTCATTTTTTTTGTATGATCACAAATGATTAATTTCTTTTGTTGATTGTTATAAGATAATGTCCTAATTACTGGTTTAATTTAACATTCTAATTGTAAACCTTTATTAAAATTTTAAATTCTTTAACAAAATCTATAAAATTGTAAGGATTATGGAGGAAAAAATCAAAAAGAAAAAATGCAAGGGTCCAATGAATATGTTGAACGATTAATTTTTATGATTTCAATTATACGCATATAGACGGGGTTTGATGTTAATTGAAAAGACGATTTATGAGAAAGTTATATACAAGTTGAAGAATTAATATGTTAGAATCATATTCAAATATTAAGGAAAAGAAACCCAAGATTTAATTCTTGAAAATATGATGCAATCTTGACAAGTTGATGTATCAGCTATCATAAAAATGGCTCGAAAAGAGGTATTGTCAATTTATGAGGATTGTGTTGTTTGTGCTTTTATTCTTGCTCAGTGGGTGTCCTTGACCCGAACCATTGGCTATTAATTTAGGTATATGTATGCACCTTTTCATTTTTCCATGAAACGGGAGTTATTCGGGTGTAATAATTGGTGCCGGCTCATTGATCGGAGTTACCGAAAGAATAATGGAATGACAGATGATTTTCATAATTAAAGTTCGTAAAATTTTTCGTAAAGTTGTGAAAAGGTTTCATTATTAAGGTGAGCCGGACTCTTATAACAATGTTTTGATTGGTAATTAAACTGATTAAGTCAAGGCTGTTCCCTCTAATCCCGCCCCCACGTGTTTAGCAAGCTTGAAAAATAGGTTCAAAGGGGACCCTACGAGGGGACATGCAATTCATTTCCCTTCACCTGTCTCCGTTACATCCAAGGTTCTCTTCCATCGTTTCAAAGACACAACCTTGCTTAAATATCAACACGAACGTCCATTTTATGAAATATTATTTCACTTCCTTTTTTTATGTGTGTAAAAAAAATTATCTTAGTGCTTATTATTGTTCCATATGAAGCGGTTTCTACTTAAGAAAATCATACGCAAAAATTACGTTGGTTGAAGAATAGCAAGAAGGAAGCTTCTGTTGATATAATTTTATGAGGACCAGCTTTTAAAAGTTGGAGGGTTTTCAGTAGCTTGAAAGTTGAAACTGGCAGGAGGCTATGGTTCTGGGCTCGTCAACTTTGAAAACTTAGGGTTTTCAGAGATCAACGTGGAGCTCATTGTTGCCTTTGTACTTTTGGGGTGTAAGCTTTATCTGGTTTTTTAAGAAAAGCATCCGGCTTGCTTTAATCGCTGTATTTCTCTGTAAGTCTCCGATCTGGTCTCTGGGTTTTCCTTGTTACCACTGTTTTTCTTCCTACCATTTTCTGAAGGCTTAAGTTTTGGTTTGTAGCATCATGTAAAGCAATTTCAACAGTTAAGCTTTAGTTTGTTTGGATCTGGAGACTGTTTCTAATAACCCAAGTAAACAATGAAAAGAAGAAAAGTCGTAACAAAATATGAGCAAGGTTTGACAAGAGAAGTAAATTTGCTCGCTTTCCTTGACTTTTCTTCTTGTTATTTATATTTTGGCTTTGCCAGTTAAATTTTGTCTGCGCTACTTCACATGAATTTCTCTTCATGTTGTGGGTACTTCTTGTCGTGCATCAAAGCTCTCTCTCTCTCTCTTAGCTTTCATTGGTAGCTTAGTTTTTATTCTGTTCCGATAATTATTGGTACCTAAAATATAACTTTGTCATTTTCCGGTGCTTTTTATCGCATATATCGTTCTTTAAAATGGAATATTGATATCGTTTTAGTGATGAAAGATGAACCGGTGTTTCATGAGTTTCTAGGGTAGGCAAATCCACGGAATCTTCGTTAAAGTAAAGGAGCGAGTTTGATTTTAGTTATGGATATGAGCAAGTTTAGACCTGAGACGTCGCATGTAGCACAGCAAAGCCTACGAGATAAGATGAGGGTTCAGCAAGGCTCTAATCCGGTTCAACATTTGGACAACTTTCCCAACAGCTTAAACCCAGATCTTGTTCATGTTCGAAGTGTTAGAAGTGATCATTTGCTGTACGATCCAGATGTTTTTCCTTCAGGCTTCTTCCATGTCCCATCAAGCTCTAATGTTTTACCTCCCCTAAGAGATGCAGTGCTACATCAGCAATTACAAACAGCTCAAGAACACAGGCAAATTCTCGCTGAGTCACCGTCGTTTTCCAGTATGTCACGGCCAAATTTATCTAAATTTAGTACTTCATCTAAAGTCTACGGTGATTCACTACATAACTTTGATGGGATGGTAGGTTATGCAAGAGGATCAACTGGTAGAGAAAGCAATCAGGACCCTAGGTTTGTTGGGGAAGTCATGTCAAATAATGCTAGGTCAAGCAACATATCTGCAGCCACGCAATATCTAATGCCAAATTACGGGAATTTGCATTTTGCTTCTCCTTCAATTTATCAGAATACTCCACAGGATGTCGTTACTAGTGCTACAATTGGAACTCAGGAACTTGAGGATGCTTCTCGCGAAAATCAAAATATCAGCAAAGCTAACAGAGGCTCACGGATGGATTACTGTGGGAATCAAGCAAATCCTTTGCAATTTGGTGACGCCGGTGCTTGGATGAATAAGCCACTGGTGGAGCATTCTCAACAGTGGTGTGGTGAATTGGCTACCCAAGGTCTATCTCTTTCTCTTTCATCGAACCTCCCATCGAAAATTTGTGGTGTGGATGCAGTTCAGTTCACGGAGGATCGGTGTGGTTATGATGGCTTTCACTCGAGGCGTGGTGAACTGAAGGAATTTAAAGATTCAAAATCTTCAAATTCGGGTAATTTTTGTTCGATGCAAAACCCATCTTCAACAGGTAAAGCTAACGGGAAATCCATTCAAGACGCAGGTGGAGCTTCAAGTAATTACGTTCATCGTCAAACGATCCCCCTTGGCCCCTTTACTGGATATGCTACCATTCTTAACAATTCAAGCTTTTTGAAGCCAGCACGAGAGCTTTTGGATGAAATCTGTCATTTCACTAAGCCCTTTAACACATCCGACAGGATCTCCGGCGATGTTGATGCTTCGGGTTCGGCTGATGCTTCTACTGCAGTTGAAACGGAGGCTGGAACTAGAAAGGGAAATAACACAGGGGCCTCATCCTCTACTTTTTACTGTTCTAATGAATCTTGTAGGACTGAGTACCAGCAAAAGAAGGCAAAGCTTGTGTACATGCAGGAGGAGGTTGGTAATCGTTTCTCTTTTCCCATCTGATCTCTTATGTTTTAGGTCACTAAATTTGAATTTTTTTATTTTAATTATGTCATTAAAAAGTACTTTCAATCTAATTATTTACCATTAAACAAATCATATGAGTTAACATGTTGCTTTGAGTTTTTGAATAAATACATTTTTTAATAAGGTGATGGTGACAAGAAAAAGATTAGGAAAATATTCTCTCACAAGGAGTAGAGGCAAATCTGGGAACCAGATCAGGCTTCGCCGCACAACTATTTAATCATCTTAGGAATATATCTTATGTTTGATAAAAAGAAAGCTTTGAGATTAAAATGAGGTAAAAATTTATTATATTTATTTTATAAAAACATATTAATTGTAAAATAAATAAATTTTTTTTAAGTATATAAACATTAATTTGTATAATTAATCAATTAATTTTGCAGTAATTATCTATATTTCATTTTATAAAAAGGTAAAAATGTAATAAGAAAAATAAAATTATTATGTAAAATATATATAATGTTACTAGAATATATTTATAATATAGGTTATAACTTATCATAATTAATATTATACATCTTTATAACATTTTATAATATATATTATAATTAAATTATTATTATTATAACTTATCTCGTTTATTTTTTTAAATCATAAATTATAAATATATTTTTAAAATATTTAATTAATATTTTAGTTGAAGTTTTAAATTTTATTATAAAATAATTTATAATTGATGGTATATCTAATATATTTTCATAAAATAAATATAAATGTTTTAGGATATAATTAATATATTTTCAACAAAGAATATTTGCCTAATGCTTGTGACACCACTTTATTGGAGGGTATATAACTATTAAAATTCGACATGTTGATTAAGTCGACGTTAGTGGCTTTAACGAAAGAATAGATTGTAGTGACTAAAATGAAATAGTTTTTATTTGTATCAAAGTGCAAACTCTTAAAAGTTGGGTAGCTGGTAGAATTTATCCTAATCTTTATGCGCGTTTCTAATGATCTTTAATTAGCGTCTAGCGATACAATGCTCATTGTTTGCTTTTTATAAATGCCATGCAACTTTAGGGCTAGGTCATTGCATTTTCGAATTTGTTGATTACAGTGCCTATGTATCCACTGATAATTTACTCGTACGTGCTTGTTAACTGCATTCAATGCAAACACTCAACAGTTCTCAACTGGTTTATTTGAAGGGTCATTTAGAAAATCATAGTAGTCATTTCCCACAGTTTTGTTTATTTCTTCAAATCGCTATTATCTTTTCGATTTGTTGTGGACAAGTTATGTTTTATTATTATTGCTGTTGAAGAGATGCCGCAGTAGCATTAATTAAGATTGTTTTTTGTTATCCGAATTAAGAATGTTAATTATGAGAGCCTTTAGCTCTTACATATTTGTGTTCTCTCTAGTTCTTTTTACCTATTAATATTATTTTCATTTTCCATTGGATTTGATTTACATTTCGGTATTATTTGATTTGGTAATGAAAATTGTCCCCCAAACACTTGTGATTGGTTATAAATCTCCTCTATCTAAGCAGTGTCTTTTCAAACACAGATAGGTCTGTGGATAGCATGTTGCCTTTTCAGTAAGAGTTGCTGATATCGCGCACGTAGTTTAGACCCCCACCCGAAACTTTGCAACTCTTACGTATTAAGTTTTTGTGTTCTTGTGAGGTTTCACTATTAACTCTATAGCGATTAGATATGTTTTTTTTATATATATATTGTTACCGTTTTTACAGTACTCCTTTCTGAATAGCTAAGTTTGTTATCTATATTATCTAATGATTTAGGATTATCGAGTTTTGAGAATACTTTCGCATGATATTTGTATAGATCAGTCTCTGAATATAGTTTTCTTTGAGATACTGTTTTTATGAGTGTCGCTTGATATCATGAGTACATCATATGTTACCGGATTTGGTGCAAAATGCATGTAAATAGTTATTGCATCTAATGTTTTGCATGCATGAACTAGTAATATTGGTAGAATGTGATGCTAAATGATATTGGCAAAGCAAAAAGGTCAAAGCTACTTATCGTCACGGCTTTACTTATGCTGTGCATGTCAAGTGCTTAAATGCATTGTTCTGCTCTTAATATTTTCACCAATTTTTGATAAAATGTTCGTTATATGTAAGCTTATTTTGCTCACTCTTTCGGGAGTGCTTTTCAAGCTAGCTAATCCTTTTTTGATGGGTTATTTGGACCTCTTGCTTGGTAGAAATTAACTTAATGCAGTTAAGAGCGCATGACATGGGAAAATTATCTAACCTCTACTGCATTAGTTTAGTGAAGGGGATTAGTTTAATTTGGTCAAGGTTCTTCAATAATTTCGGTCATCTTTTCTTTGTCCGGCATCATTATTGTTGTTGTACTTAACTCCAAATTGCATCAGATTTCATCATGATCAATAAAATTGTTTAAGCATCTTAATTTTCACAACGGATCATGTGTATGTTCTATTATTTTTTGTTTTTACCATTTTTGTTGTTTTTGTGTGATACTATTCAAATATAATCTGGTGATAATGTGTCTATCTTGCGATGGAAAGGTTTGCAGAAGATACATGCTATACCATCAGCAGATGCAAATGGTGGGTTCTTCATTTGAATCCGTAGCTGGTCTTGGTGCTGCCACGCCTTTTTTTTCCTTGGCTCTCAAGAAAGTAGCAAAGAACTTTCGGTGCCTAAGGAATGGTATTTTAGAACAGATTAGGCACATATCAAGAGCCCTTGGGGAGGACTTGTCGTCCCCAACTGTTGGTACCAACAGTAGTAAAGGTGATATAAATATGTCTAGGCTAAAGTATGTGGGTCAGAAATCTGGTGGAGTTAACTTCAGTTTCCTTGAACCCCAACAGCATGGCTGGAGGCCCCAGAGAGGCCTACCGGAACGTTCGGTGGCTATTCTTCGAGCTTGGCTCTTTGAACATTTTCTTCATCCGTATGTCTCACTACTCTTCACTTTCTATTTTAGTTTATTACTCTTAAATGTGTAATCTGATGCGAATTTCTCTGTGTCTGCTTTCTTATAGGTACCCCACGGACACTGATAAGCACATGTTGGCCATTCAAACCGGCCTATCGCGAAATCAGGTGGGCTACCTACTTCTTGTTTATTGTCTAATTATTTAGACCAACACTGTCTATGTGATCCAATTAAAATGTAGTACAGTTAATATCTTGATCGAAGCATCTTTCCTAGATTTGCAAAGATTATATCTTAAAAATATCTAGGCTTCATGGTATTTTGATTTGTTAATGCAGGTGTCTAACTGGTTCATAAATGCTCGTGTTCGGCTTTGGAAACCGATGGTGGAGGAAATACATATGCTTGAAAGCAAAGGCTTGGCAGAAGGCAATCAGAACTTGAGCAAAAGTGATGGCAAATCTATTATTAGTGAAGTACGTAATACTTGGCCTAACGAAGAGCAATCTATCAACAGGTCATGTGTAAACATATTGTCTGATAAGCAAGTGGCTTGCTCCAATATGCTGGTAGCTGACATCGCACATGATGTAGAACACTGGAATCATGAGAAACGTTCAGGGATAGATTTTCATATCCCAACAAACATGGAGGGTTCACTGGTAGGTTTTGCACCGTATGAGCAAAGCAGGCTTGAGAATGGGGGCCTTGGAGCTGTATCGCTTACCTTAGGACTTAGGCATGATGTAGAAAGTGCACAACAGAAGCAGCAACAATATCAACAACAGGAGCATCATCTGAGGAGGCAATTTGGAGGTCAATTGATTGATGACTTTTCTGGTTGAGCATATATTGACTTATTGAAGTTGAAACCGAGTAACTGATGAGATGGCTCTTCTTTGTGATGGTTTTCGGAAATTTCGGAACAAAAATGCTGCTAGTACAAGGTTGCAGGTCACCTTGACAGCATTTGCTTGTCATGTTAAATGTTGAATGAAAATGATGACACAAATGTATTGGAAATTAGAAGTAATAATCGTTTGAAGTTATTTGTAATACGGCTTGTGAGAAGCCGTTTGGATTTGTCGGGGAAGGGTTTAATTAAAGCCCAAATGTGTAGAACAATTTTTAGTTTCACTGTTTCATGGTAAGAAGGATTATTGGCAATCTTGTTTTTGAAATTGCAGGGTTTAATGTCTGCTTAATAGCATGGGCTTGCATTACCAAAATATGGCCCATATTTGAGGCAATCAAATGTAAAATTAATGCAATCACATATATGGCAGGTCATCGTAGTAACAACTTTCGAAGCCCAGGGGATGCAAAGCCTGGAGTGTTTCGGAAGGTGATGTAAATTTGGTCATCTCATGCAAACACCAGAGCATCTAGACGTGCATGAATGCGATATTTTTCAAACCCTACATATTATATCAACATATCTAACTATATATACAAATACGAAAACAGATCGGGAATACATGATATAGGCTATGATCATAGAGATATATTGATTAGTGTTTAAATTATGCGTTATTTTATGATCAATTACTCATTTATTAGCTATTTTAAGTTGTTAACTTGGTTATTTTTGATACAAGACATTGAATTTTGGAAATTATGTTAAAACTGATGAAGTTGTGCAATTTTTAATTTTCTGGATTCATTGTCTAAGTAGTGGGCATGACTTTGAGCATGACATCGCTGACGTGGCATCCAGTTAGCAGCTTCTAGAAGGTCCAGTCAGTAGTGGCGTGAAAACCAAAGACTCAACCGAATTATTTTATTTTTATTTTACGATTTATCTTTTAGGATTTTTTAGGACCATAAAAATCCTATTGGGGTAAGCTTAAAAAATCAACTCTATCATTCAGAATTCATTTTTCAACTATTGTTTTTTCTTTCTTAGTTTAATAAATGTTTCCATTTTTTATTTTTTTTCTTTCAAAATGTTAAGTATGATTTCTACCATGCTTAGCTAAGTTTTCCATAGCTGAAGGCTAAAGCAATGATTCAATTCTAAGTCATGAGAATCGAAAAACACATCTACATTTTCAATTTACGAAAATCAAGGATCGGTAATCGACCGTCCTTTTACAATCAAAGCGATTTCATTTCAAAAAGTGCATGTTGGAATTGAATTTCGGTTTCGATTAATAGTTGGAAGGATCGGTCTGTGGCATATTTGACTTCCTATGAACACACTTAGCAGCGGTTCGCTAAGGGAAACTGAAATCGGGTTAGATTCTCAATTGAGACGATAGACTCCGAGTTGGGTTTTTCAAGAACTTAAAAGCGTTTAATTAGTAAGCAATTGTCGCAATTGATTAACAAAAGAGTTGAGATCTAAAAATTGATTTTAGATTCTCGATTCACTTGAGAGAAAAACAAGTTATAGAGTTTGGGCCCTATATACTGTAACCGACTTGAGCCCTGAGGTAAAATCTTATTCAATGATCGATTTGAATCGAGACAGAAGCATTAGCCCAATGTTGATTTAATCATATTGAATCTTCGTCTTTAATTTCATTTTACTTTTATTTATTTATTTAATTACTTTCATTTTTAATTACTTCAAATTTTCATTAAACCCACCTTTTATTTCCCTTTATATCATGCCTAAATCGAAATAAATAGCGAGAAATTTTATTTAATTTTATTTTGAGATCAGCCCAATAGGTCATTACTATTGTCTTTAATAGTATGCTGCCAATTTCAGTTAATTTAGTCTTTTTAATTTTATCTTTTTCTTCCTAAATTATTCTTTGTATAGTTAAGGGTGCATTCAATTATATTTGTTTTTTCTTCTAAATTTTAAACGTTTATAATAATTTAATCTGATTACTTTTAGTTCTTAATTTTTACTTTTAGAAAAATATTTTTTAAAAATTAATTTTACCAAATAGCTTTAGTTATGCTTTTTGACATTATGTGAAAATTTTCAAACTTTTTTCATATATATTTTAGAAAATAATTAGTAATTTTTATATAATATATTGAATTTATTTTTATTTTTCTTGATGGAACATGTTTGTCTCGTTGACCTTTGACAATTTATTTTTTTCAGATTGGATGGAGAGTGTGTCCGATAAGAAAATAGTCATTGACCGATGTTTTCTTGTGAGAATATAAGAGTAAAGAAGGTAATTAGGGATCCCCTCTCAGTTGTTGTTGAGAGGTATTTATAATAACTCTAGATGATGGAGCCTAGACAAATAGTCATTTTGGTTGCTTGTAAGTCAGCATGATAAATAGATATAGTCATCAAATTTTGGATTTACTTTAGTAGATCATGTGAGTCTGACAGAAATATTGTCTATGCATTGTAGTTAGCTCGAAGATTACTATACTCCTAGATAGGAGGCCATAGTTCCTTAAAGATTTAAATAAACGAGGGCATCTTTTCAATAGGTTTTGTCTGATGAATGACTGGTAGTTTTCATAAGTGACCTCCAAAGGTATAATAATTTTTAAAAACCAAATACTTTTTTGGATGGTTTATAGTTCAAAAATAAATGTTATAGTATATAGTTTATGGTTCAATAATTTTTTTTGAATAGTTTGAGATGATTATAAGGTTGTATATGTTCATCAATTTACTTAGCCATTGATGACGCACACACACTTTGCAAACACAGTTACTCGAATATGAAACCTCAAAGAAGAACAACACTTCCTCACAGAGTCTACTTAATGAATTCATATTTTTTAAAATAGCGATGACTTAAACTAAACAAAATTCTATTAATTATTTATTTTAAAATTATAGAAAGCTATTTATTTTTAAAACAATAAAAATAACTTAACGTGATATATAAGATTTATTATTTTTTATTGATTTAAAAGTGATCGTACATTCAACACACGAAAGGTGAAATTTATGAGTTTCTAGTCTCCATCGTTTAATTAATGCATTGATCAAACCGAGACCAACATATATTCTGTTACATATGTTACATCGTAAAAGTCCACCATTTGCAAATTCTGGACAATAAGTTCATCTGGCTTCTCGCAAGTGTTCACTCGACTACGAATGACTCGTTTTTTGTCATCATGCAATTTGTTATTCCATGTAATTAAAATTAATTCATCGTTCTCAAATAAAATATATTATTCGATCATAATACCGATGCTCCCAAATGACTATAAATGTGTCGATCATCTAGTCTCAAAAGAACATTTTGTTCTGTCATGCTTCAACAAATCTATAAAAAAAAATTAAATATTTCAAATTATAATATTAATCATAATTAATTTAAACAAACAAATATGTTAAATCAAAATAAATAGTCTAATTAATTTATATTTACAATAAAAACAAAAAACAAAACAAAAAATTTAAATTAAACTTACCAAACCACTCAAATACGATTTAAACTGTAAAATCAAAATAAATAGTTCAATAATTTATATTACTCAATAAAAAAATAAAAAATAATTTAAACTAAAATTACCAAAATACTCAAATACAACTAAAATAAAAATAAATAGTCTAATAATTATAATTTAAATTAAAAACAAAAATTAGACAAAAAAAATTAAATTTAACTTACCAAACCACTCGAATACAGTTTAATCTGTAAAATCAAAATAAATAGACTAATTAATTTATTTTTACAATAAAAAACTAAAACAATAAATTAAATTAAACTTACCAAGGTACTTAAATACGATTTAATTTATAAAATAAAAATAATTAGTATAATAATTTATATTACTCAATAAAAAAATAATGTAATAAGTTAAACTACACTTACCAAGTTTTACTCAAATACAACTGCCATATTAAGCTTTCCAATCAAGATGTATTGCAGCCTCTGGATTCACCAACTGATGGTGTTATTGACGGGCTTGTGAGGCAGGCTTCAGAAACAAGGGAAGCTCCAATCCCATCTGTTTCTAATAGCCTTCCCCTGCGGACTGCAGCTGCTGTTTCATCTCGTATGCCTTTGACTTTGTATCATGACCCACTTCAAATTGAAATGGAAAGAATAATGAAAGAAAAAGAGCAAACCACCAATATTCATGAAGAATCGGTTAGTTTCCTGTTCACTTGTTTGCTTTTCTGCTGACACTGAGTGATGTATAGTTTAATTTCTGCTGAGAATTTCCTCTCTTTTGAGCAGAAGCTGCAGCTGAAATTGGAATGTGACAAGGAGAATGAGGTAGTTGTAGCTCAGATTAGTAGAAAGTATGATGTTACATTTAAGGAGAAAGAAGCAGAGTTTCTTCTCCAGGAAAAGGAGCTTGATGTGAATTACAGTGAAGTTCTCTAGAATAGGATCTTGGCCGAGGCATTCAGGTCTAGAGATATTAGGGAATCTGGTTCAGTAGGAGCTAAGCAAGGTGAATCATGCATTTACTTGGCAATTTTAACAGAGTTATGGGAGAATACAGAATTGTAGCGATGATCTAGTTATCTACTTGAAAATTCCATGCAGTGGTGCTTGGTCAGATTAGGGTACCTGACTACCTGCTCAATCACAGATCTGTTGAGTGGTCATTTTTGGGACACAGCATAGTTTTAGTCACTTAAGAAAATTTAGATTCTGTTTTCTACCACTGTGTTAAATTGCAAGTTTAAAGAGAATGCATGTTAACTCTCTGTGTGCTTTTGGGCATATAGACTTGTCCATGTGTGAAAGAAATGATAGCTAAAAAATCTAATGGAACATACAAATACAGATGCGTTATATGCATGCATGTAATAAGATTTTCCCTTCTGCAATGTTTCGTTATACAAATTGACTAACTACTGTGTGTTTTTCGTGGCAGGGGCAAATTCTAACTTCCTGCAGCAGCTGTTTCAACTTTCTTCACGACAGATGATACAAAAGCCTTCAGCTGCTTCTGGTATCCCTTCCACTGGCTCAGCTTCTAGCATACCAACTGTTTCATATGCTGCAGTCAATGCACAAACCATGTGTCCTTCGCAGCCTTCCACTGCATCAGGGATCCCTTCCACTGGCTCAGCTAGTAGCATGCAAATTGTTTCTCCTGCTGTAGTCAATGCACAAAACATTGGTTCACTTTTGCAGGTTGATAACCCTTGGGCATTTTTCTCAGGCAATCCAACTAGACCTCCCCGTATCATTACCATCTCCTCTTCAACAGGAAACCCTCAAATAGGCACTGAAATCCGTGCTCCTGCTCAACATTTGAAGCCATTTAGGTCTTCATCATCCATTTCCCCAAGTAGTCTCCGATTGCCTTCTGGTGGAATGTCAAGTCTGCAGGCACATAATAACCACGCTGCAGCTTCTATGTCATTGCGCCTGTCGTATGTTAACCCCCTCGTACACAGGCAGGTATCAACTACAGGCCAATCTGGTAGCACGCAACATGAAATTGCTAGAGGGTTGACAAATCCACCCAACTCCCGTTTACCTTCATCGGATGTTTTAACGGGCGTAAATCCATATGGGGCCGGTGCAAATCCCCCAGGCCTTTTGATGCCAGATAGTAGTTCAAGGACGGATACAAGGTTCCATCAGGAATCGCACGTGCCAAGTAGTGGGTCTAACTTGGCACAGCAGAGTGAAGGAGCAACTGACATTATTTGTTTATCGGATGGTGACTAACTCTAATCACTAGGAGGTAATGTTGTTTAACTTATTGGTTTTTTTTTTAGCCAAGAGAGCTTCTAACTTACTAGTGTAAGGTCAGAAATTGATAGGGAGTTGGCAACGGGGCCTGGCATTTTATGGACGAATATATTTTGTGGTGAGTGGTTATTTAACTTGTAATGAATATAGGGAATTGGCAAAGGAATTGCCCGTCCAGCTCAGTTGGTAAGAGCACAAGGCTCTTAACCTTGTGATCGTGGGATCGAGTCCCATGGTGGGAAATTCATAATTCTGATTGTCGGAGGTCTCCCACGGAAACTGCTCTCAATTTGGCATTCTGCAATCTACGGAAGCAATGATGGAATATCTCGAAGGCAACTTTGGCTCAATCTTAAGGAGGTTAATTCTACTGTTAATCAGACCCCATGGGTTCTAGGAGGGGATTTCAACATCTTCCTTCATTCACATGAAAGCTCTGATCATGAACTGTTAGGCCATTACTACACATCTGAAATGAAAGACTTCCATGACCTCACTCAAGAGATTGCTATTCTGGATCATCCTTACTTTGGGCCTAAATACACTTGGAGTAATAAACAACAAGAATTTTTTTTGTCTAGGAAACTCGACAGAATTATGATAAATCCTAGCTGGGCTTCCTCCTTCCACCAATCTTTTGTGGAATTCTTAGCTCCTGGAATCTCTGACCATAGCATGGCCATTATGTGGCTTTCGAAAGACCACCATGCCACCAAGCCTAAGCCTTTCAAATTTTTTAACTTTTGGGCTGGCCATCCCAACTTTCTCAATGTTGTAAGGCAATCTTGGACTCAAGATACTCATGGCAATCCTATGATGGTACTGTTCACAAAACTAAGAAGACTTAAAGTTTGTCTCAGAAGGTTTAACAAAGAAAACTTTAACAACATCTCTGATAGAGTTAAATCCAAGCGACTGGAGTTGGAGAATCAGCAATTGCTCACTCTTAGAGGAGAGGAAGCCTTACAGAAAGAACTTGACATTCAACAACAGTTGAACTCTCTTGAAGAAGCTGAATCACTTTTCTTCAAACAAAAGGCTAAAGTTCAATGGATTAAAGATGGTGACAAAAATACCAAATTTTTTCATTCCATTGTGGCTTTTAAAAACAAAAGGAATACCATTAGAGTCCTAGTTGATGAAAGAGGGAATAGGCTTGAAACTTTCGATGCCATTGCCAATGAAGTTACTTCTTTTTTCACTAATATGCTTGGTACTACTGATTCTATGGTTAAGGATATTAATCCTTCTTCCCTTCAGGACATTCTTGAATTTTCTTTGCCTATCGAAGCTGCTTCTGCTATTGTTAAGGATATTACGAATGAAGAAATCCACAATGCCATCTTTTGCCAAGGCAATGAAAAGGCTCCTGGACCGGATGGTTTCACACCTTACTTCTTCAAGAAAACATGGTCCATTGTGGGTGAAAATGTTATTGAGGTTGTTAATTATTTCTTCTGCAACTCTCATATTCACCCAGCCTTTAACTCAACTATAATTGCACTTGTTCCTAAAGTACAAAATCCAACAACTGTCAAAGAATTCAGGCCTATCTCCTGCTGTTCCGTTATCTACAAGATTATCTCTAAAATTATGGTCAACAGAATGACTGATTTTCTTCCTCAGATTATATCATTGAACCAAACTACTTTTATCCGAGGGCGCAACATCATTTACAACTCTCTTCTTGCTCAGGAGATTGTTAGAGGTTATGGTAGGAAATCCATCTCTCCTAGATGCACTATGAAGATCGACTTACACAAGGCTTTTGATACATTGCATTGGAACTTTATTTCTTCTATTCTAACAACCCTCAATTTCCCTCCAAGATTTATTACTTGGATTGAAGTTTGTTTTTCTCAAGCTAGATACTCAATCTCCTTCAATGGCTCCTTGATTGGTTATTTTAAAGGAGCTAGAGGTCTAAGGCAGGGAGACCCCCTATCCCCATATTTGTTTGTCCTCGCTATGAATGTGCTCTCAAAAATGCTAAACTTGGCTGCTTCAAAAGGAATCTTTGGTTTTCACCCTAAATACAAGAAGATCGGGCTTTCACATCTTTCTTTTGCTGATGACCTACTGATTTTCTGCAAAGGTAATATTGGTTCGGTTGGTGGTGTTTTAAGTGTCCTTGATCAATTCTATGAATTTTCAGGGCTAAAGCTTAATTCTTCCAAATGTGAGCTTTTTACGGCGGGTATTCTTCCAAGGGAACTGTCGGATATTAAGCGTCTTTCTGGTTTCAAGTCCGGTTCCCTTCCTGTTAGGTACCTCGGTATCCCTCTAATCACTCGCAAGCTAACTATGAAGGACTATGAACCTCTTCTTGAGAAAATAAAGCAGCGATTGCATCAATGGTCCACCCAGAACCTTAGTTACGCTGGCAGACTGGAATTAATTCGCACCGTTCTATTCAACATCAGTAATTTCTGGAGCAGACAGCTTCTCCTTCCAGACTCGATTCTAAAAGCAGTCGACCAACTTTGCGCAAGGTTCTTCTGGAAAGACGAAGACAAACCTGCAACTGGAGCCCGGGTAAGCTGGGATCGTATGTGCCTCACCAAATTAGAAGGTGGTTTAGGTCTGATTAATACATCAATTTGGAAAAGAGCATGCACTATAAGCCTCATTAGGAAGGTTCTTGCTGGTAACGGTTCATTGTGGGTTGCGTGGTTACACAATTACATTCTTAAAGGACAGGATTTCTGGCAATTCGAGGCTGGAACAAATGTTAGTTGGGGATTCAAAAGAATTCTGAAATTGAGACCTACTGCTGCTCTTTTTTTTGCTTCGGGTTTCATGCGTACTAAGGAAATATGCGAGCACATTCGACCGTAAGTGCAGAAGGTTATTTGGCAGCGTCTAATATGGTATCCTTTGCATATTCCAAAGCATAGCTTGATTGCTTAGATGGCCATTTTGAATAAATTACCAACCAGAGATCGTTTAGAAAGAATGGGAATTTGCACGGATGGACTATGTATAAACTGTAGCACTCATCAAGAAACTAGAGATCATATTTTCTCTAATTGCTTATTGGCTATTGGTATATGGAAATCCATCCTTAACATGAATGGGATGAACTTTTATGCTTTGACTTGGGATGAAATGGTAGCTCGTGCTTGCTCCTCTTGGAAAGGAAAGTCCCTCTTAATTGCCATTTTGAAGATCTCGTGGAATGCCTTCATTTACTTCTTTTGGCAGGAACGTAACCAGAGATTATTTCAGGGTCGTTTTCGATCTGCTGACGTTATTCTTAAAGAAATTGTCGATGTGGTTGCAATTCGTCTAAGGGACAGATCCATAAATAGACTAGATAGTACTAGCTTATCCCTTTGTAATGCTTGAGGTATAGTATAACCAATCATTGTTGTGTAATTAGGCTGTTATGTTTTGTTGATTGGTTATTGGTTGTATCAAAACCTTACTGTTGTGGTAATAAAATGCTGAATTACCCAAAAAGAAAAAAAGAAGAAGACTGAAATCGTCATCATATAAAATATAATCTCATTCAAGCATACCCAAATTTGGTAAAGTAGACAAAACAAATTCGGTAAATGTCGACTTAAAACTTGTGATCAAAGTTGGGTTTGACATCCAACCAAACAAAGAAAATTCTAAATAACTTAGGAATATTAAAATTGAATTGATTTTGGAACCCGATATCATCGCACGGTACTGATAAGAAATTTAGGCAGCTAGTTGGTTTGACTTTGAAGCTCTAATCCATCCGCTCAGAATTAAGTCTTTGACCGAACTTTCATATTCTTATCCTCAAATTAATACTAAATTACTAGCGGGTGGGTATTTGCTGTTGGTTCTCGTGCTATAGTGAAAATGAAAGATACAAACAGCTGTAGTTCAGAAAAACAATGCCAAATGTGTTGCTTCTAAATCCATATAATGGGGTTGCTTATTGTTTAGACCTGTTCGTCATTGACTTGGACTGCTGTAATCATCAAGTTGAAGGAACAAAGAGTGTTTATTTACACAAATTTGGTTTCTTTCTCTTAACATATTGGTGTCGACTGCGTCCAAAATTATAAGATTACCTATGAACCACGTACAATTCATTCGACTTGATCCAGAGTTTTTGGGAATGTGGTTCTCAACTCAGGCATGCCATTGACGTCACTTCACCACCTTTTTTAGTTTTGGAAAAGTAGCAAATCCACCAAGTGAGTCAGAATTAGGCTATTCCTTACAGCCTGTCACCACCACCTCTGCTTCCCATTCAAACTTTGCTGCACCCCCATCTATTAAATAAATGTTAGGCCTTCCAGGATTGATAATGCATCTTTCATAATTATACGCATGTTTCCTGTCTTCCATTTCAATCAACCTAACCGCCGTCTTAAGTCTTTACAAAAATACACTAAAAGAGAAACCAATACACAACCATTTACGTGATTCAACTGAAATTTGCAAGATTACTTCCATAAACAACTTCTGCATTATCCAATAAAAGTATATATTTCTAAAATTGAATATTTAGTCGTATTCATAAGAAAAACGGGTCAACAAAATTAAATATTGAACATTCTATCAATAATTAAATGAATCGGAATCCATGTACTTGTCGTTTCGAAGTAGCCTAGGGATTCAATAAAATGATAGGATAAACAAGGTAGTAAAAGAATGATAAAGCATGTGAGATTGTCTATAGGGAAACAAGCAGGGGGGATTATATTAAACGTATGTTGTCTTGTTTATGTAAATTGTGTTTTATTTTAGATGCGAAAGTTATTCTTCCCTGCAAGAGAACATGCACAAGGGACCCAAGACAGCAGGATCCATATTTTATTATTTAACTCCTTTTGAGACCCCCCACTTATGTTTCCAACCTCTTCCCCGTGCCCACTGTGAGTGGGTGAGAGAGTGAATAAATAATTCTATTAGTGGGTCATTTTGTAACCCTAAATTTGCTACACTTTCTGGGGCAAACTCAACAAAAAAATATTGCAGGGCTTTTCCCGAGGGGAAACACAATCAAATACAGTGAATTGACTCGAACCATCGATTCAAGCTCTTCGGCTAAGCTTGTAAGGCAAATTCTTTGAACATATACAATACTATGGGATGATGAAACTTGTTGGCATTTGAATCCCATCAAACCAACGGTTAGTGAAAGCAGAGTCCAAAAATATAATAATGTAACCCTTTGATTTGCAATTGGGGTAATGAGTGGAACCATTGCCCAAACTCCAATTGCCATGAGTGGCCATTGTTTTTAAACCACCCATTCTTGTCCTGGACCATCACAATCACATTTTCCCTTTTCTCTCCTCCTCTATTAAATTTGTTTTATAACTTAATTAAATTCAGATTTTAGAGTTTTGTCATACTATTATGATAAATTCAACCAATGGGGTCCTACAATAAAAATAATAAATTGAATAGAAGCCTTTTGCAAATTACAAAGCTCTTATAACCAAACTAAAGAAAGGCAAGTTATTTGAACATAAAAATAATTTAGTACTATAATCAAAACACTTATACGACCTAATTTCCCCCATCGATAGTCCAATTAGGTAGCAGTAGGTTATCAATATTAATGATGGGTTTTCTTGGAAGAACCTGTAAGTGTAGATTGCAACCTTTGCTCACATTTCTTTTTCCTTGATCCAGATAAAGAATTTATGGCGATCAGTCAATTCCTTCAAATGAGTAAAATGAGTTTCAAATCCGTTTCACTTTAAAATGGTTTATGGGCTTACTGGTAGCTAGAAAGGAGAAAATGATAATTTAATCAATTTTTATATTTAATAGGAACAAGTTGCTAGAATAGTTATTGAGCAACCCCCAAGTTGGATGAGCAAATCCACCCTCTTTAACTATTTGTATTTATTAGAGTAATTTATTAGGTAAGACTCTGGCTTACGCATTTACATCACTGGTTTTCGCTAGTCGGTGTGCAAGTACTGTGTAAAAGGAAAATGGTTATATTTATTAGAGTAATTATATGAGTTTTTGATTAGCCATCCCATCATCCATGTAAACTAATTGGAATTTTATTTTATTTTTGAAAATAATATCTTTGATGTATAAATAGAAGACAAAGCAGCATTCTTTTAGAGTAAAATCATAACTGCAATTCGTAGATAAAGCTGAGAAAACGACTGCCAGTTGATTTTTTTTGGACCGTCTTAATTAACAACTTTGACTAATTGGATTCCACACTAACCACACCACTGTTATGTACATCTGTTTTAAGAGTAACCGCATATATTTTTGTTCTAAGTTTGAATTTCAATTTTTTTTTTATAAAAAAGTAAAATTCATATTAATATCATGAATTCTTTCTCATTCAAAATTTCTTTTGAATAAGAGCATAAACCATCGATCAAAAACTTCAACACAACCTAAAAAAAAATACAAGAGCGAAATATAAAAGGTAAGAAAATGCACGAGATGGCCGGCATTAAGTCAGTGGCAATGATGGAAAAAAAGTAAAATTTGAGGCCAAATTTCAAAGCCGTGATATAAGAAATAAATTATAACCAAGTGTTTTTTTTTTATTGTAAATTTAAGGAAATACTATGGACGAGAGAAAGAATCAGGGAAACGTGTTTTGATAAAAATAATATTTTTTTTATAAGTAGAATTTTATTACCCAATAGAAATGGTTCATCATACAACTGTCATCCCAATTGGGAGTATAAACACATATTTACAGAATTAGTCTATACCCCAATAATTACAAAGTCTAGAATTAACATAGTCCAGTCTATTAAAACCTTTGGCACTGAGTTTGAAACGAACAAGCTCCTTAATAGCCTTTAGAAGTTGGTCTGTTGTTCTTGTTCCTCTGTTGAAAATTCTTCTGTTTCTCTCCTCCCAAATGAAGTATATGAAAGCAGTCCAGGCGATCCTCAATATGGTAGAAATAAGAGATTTGCCCTTCCAAGTTTGAGCAGCCCAATGAAGCCTTGAATCCCAAGACCTGTAAGTATCTCTCATGCTAGATAGATTCATAATAGAATGCCATAGTGAAGTAGCGTAAATACAGTCAACAAATAAATGATTTCTAGATTCGTGGTCTTGATTGCACAAAATACAATAACTATCAGTCACAATACCCATTTTAATAAGTCTATCACGAGTAGGAAGACGATCCAGAATTGCCATCCAAGAGATAATGCTTAGCTTTGGGATGTGTAGTGGAAACCAAATCACCTTATGCCAGAAAACTTTGTCTCTATGAACTCTTATATTTTCCCATAAATCTTTTGTTTTCGTGGCACCAACAGTTAAATTTGGATAGGCTTCATGTTGGGATTTTCGGACGCTCGAATATACAACCGGAAAGGTTTGTAAAGAGGGGTCGGAACGGTTTTGTGTTTAGGGAGTAAGGAGATTGAAAAATAGAAAATTGCACAGCGATTTAGAGTGGTTCGACTTTCTCAACCAAAGTCTACATCCACTACCTTAGCTCCTCACCAAGGATTTTCCAACAAAGTCTACAACTCCCTAGTTTTTCACGGGTTAAACTAGAACCTTTCCCTAGCTTTTACACGGGATAAACTAGAACCTTTCCCCTTTACAAAAGGATAAAATATGTAAACAAGAAAACCTCTCTAAGGTAGGTGTTTACAAGATTGAGCTCACAAGAACAAAATATTTACAAGAGAAATATGAAATAAGAATGAAAAACTCTTCTCTTGTGTTTGATTGCTTGGATAGTTGTTCTCTTACTTCTTCAAGTGTCCTCAGCTTGTATTTATAGCTTGGAATGTGTTTGATGTTGTATATAGCTGTTGGGGATGTTTTGGAGTCGTTTGGGGATGATTTTTCTACTCAAAAAGGCTGCCCATAACATGATGCATCGATGCATGATCAAGGTGCATCGATACCCCTTCATTAAATTCAAATAAACTAGTTGTTACTAGCCGTTGCAGCCTTGATGCATGGATGCATGGTAGGATGCATCGATGCATGGCAAGGATGCATCGATGCATGGCAAGGATGCATCGATGTATGGAAAGGATGCATCGATGCACTAATTGCATTCGATGTTTGGATGCATGGCCTGATGTATCGATGCATTAGTGCAGATGCATGGATGCACTGCATGGATGCACTTTGACACCCTTTAGCATTTTGGCTCAAATCCGATTTTAATGGACTTTGAATTATTTTTGAAACTTTTTAAAACTTTGAATAAATTCAATTAAGTCCAAAAACATTTTGTAAATTCAATTCAAGTCCAAAAACCATTTTGCCTTAAATTGTTTTATCAAAACATAGTTCAACAATCTCCCCCTTTTTGATATAACAAAACATTTGAAAAATTGTTTTTGGCAAAACTCCCCCTTAATAAATTGTTTAATGAAAAAGATATCAATTGT